TACAGAATATAGGGGAGTACCGTTATATGGTGGATATACGATATTGTGGACCTATATAGACAATTCTCTTTCAGGGGGTGAAGTACTCACAAGGAACTACTTGTGTTGAATTTAAGCCAATTCCATTGAAAAGCGTGGCTAACATCATCAAAATACCGAATAACGGGGGTTACAGTTATATGGGGGATATACGATATCGTGGACCTATATAGACAATTCTTTTTGAGGAGGTAAAATGCCCACAAGGGACTCCTTTTGTGGAATTTCAGACAATTCCATTGAAAAATGTGGCTACAATCATCAAAATACCGAATATCGGGGGTACCGTTACATGGGGGCTATACGATATTGTGGACCTATGTAGATAATTCTTTGCCGAGGTATAAAGTACCCACAAGGAACTCCCTTTGTGGACTTTCAGACAATTACGTTGAAAAATGTGGGTAAAATCATCAAAATACCGAATATCGGGGGGTACCGTTATATGGGGGATGTACGATATCGTGGACATGTATAGACAATTCTCTCTCAGGGGGTAAATTACTCGCAAGGAACCACTTGTGTGGATTTTAAGACAATTCCATTGAAAAATGTGGCTACAATCATCAAAATACCGAATATCGGGGGTACCGTCACATGGGGGCTATACGATATTGTGGACCTATATAGATAATTCTCTGCCGAGGTATAAAGTACCCACAAGGAACTCCTTCTGTGGAATTTCAGACAATTCCGTTGAAAAATGTGGGTAAACTCATGAAAATACCGAATATCGGGGGTACCGTTACATAGGAGCTATACGATATTGTGGACCTATATAGATAATTCTCTGCCGAGGTATAAAGTACCCACAAGGAACTCTTTGTGTGGATTTTCAGACAATTCCGTTGAAAAATGTGGGTAAAATCATCAAAATACCGAATATCGGGGGTACCGTTACATGGGGGCTATACGATATTGTGGACCTATGTAGATAATTCTTTGCCGAGGTATAAAGTACCCACAAGGAACTCCCTTTGTGGACTTTCAGACAATTACGTTGAAAAATGTGGGTAAAATCATCAAAATACCGAATATCGGGGGGTACCGTTATATGGGGGATGTACGATATCGTGGACATGTATAGACAATTCTCTCTCAGGGGGTAAATTACTCGCAAGGAACCACTTGTGTGGATTTTAAGACAATTCCATTGAAAAATGTGGCTAACATCATCAAAATACCGAATATCGGGGGTACCGTTATATGGGGGCTATACGATATCGTGGACCGATATAGCCCATCTTCGAACTTGACCTGCCTGCAGACAAAAGAGAGATCTGTGCAAAATTGTAGCTTCCTATCTTAATTCGTTTAGACTGTAGCGTGATTACAACAGACGGACAGACGGACGGACAGGGCTAAATCGTCTTAGAATTTTACGCTGGTCAAGAATATATATACTTTGTTGGGTCTAAAATGATTATTTCGATGAGTTACAAACGGAATGATGAACTTAATATACCCTCCATACCTTTTTTGGTGGAGGGTATAAAAAGGAAAATTTTTATATATACAAACTTTAGTGGGCAACAATTGTTAACACAAAATACAACAAAAGATTTAAATTTCGCCAAAATAAAAATCAGTGAAACCTTATAGGGTAAGTGTGCCTAAGTTCGGCATGTCTCAGTAGTCGGCACTTTTTATTTTTAAGCCAAAATAAATGAAACTATTATAACTAAATGTATTTTATTTACTTCAAACATATTGTCAGCTATCTTTGTGTACAATTTCGGTAAGAAAATATGATTTATTCTAATAAAAATTAAATTTTTGTCTGTGAACGTCCTCAACAATCCATATTCTTAAGAAAAGTACAATAAAGACGTCGAATCAGTTTAACTAAACAAATATATTATATTTTAATGAATTAATTTATTATTATTAATTATGCTTACAAAAAAATTGGTTTGCCGACTGTTTTAACATGCCATACCGACAATTGGCAAAAATGCATTGTTTTAATAAAACTACAAATTTATAAAATTTAATAAAAAGTTAATAAAACTTTATTTATTATTGCAAAAACTATACAAAATTTCGATTCTGAATAACTTAACTTTGTACTAATTGAAAATTTCCATTCACAATTGTGAGCGATTAAAAACGCGGAAATCCTAAAAGTGCCGACTACTGGTACACTTACCCTACCATGTGGTTCTAAATTTTCTATTAAACAATCTAATGAACAAAACCTATGATCTATTGAATTAAAAACTAAAACGAATTACATTAACTAAAATTATCAAATAGACCAATATTTTTTATACCCTCGACCAAAAAAGGTATGGAGGGTATATTAAGTTCGTCATTCCGTTTGTAACTCATCGAAATAATCATTTTAGACCCAACAAAGTATATATATTCTTGATCAGCGTAAAATTCTAAGACGATTTAGCCCTGTCCGTCCGTCTGTTGTAATCACGCTACAGTCTAAACGAATTAAGATAGGAAGCTAAAATTTTGCACAGATCTCTCTTTTGTCTGCAGGCAGGTCAAGTTCGAAGATGGGCTATATCGGTCCACGATATCGTATAGCGGTACCCCCGATATTCGGTATTTTGATGATGTTAGCCACATTTTTCAATGGAATTGTCTTAAAATCCACACGAGTGGTTCCTTGCGAGTAATTTACCCCCTGAGAGAGAATTGTCTATACAGGTCCACGATATCGTACATCCCCCATATAACGGTACCCCCCGATATTCGGTATTTTGATGATTTTACCCACATTTTTCAACGGAATTGTCTGAAAATCCACACAGGGAGTTCCTTGTGGGTACTTTATACCTCGGCAGAGAATTGTCCATACAGGTCCACGATATCGTAAGGCCCCCATGTAACGGTACCCCCCGATATTCGGTATTTTGATGATTTTACCCACATTTTTCAACGGAATTGTCCGAAATTCAACACAAAGAGTTCCTTGTGGATACTTTATACCTCGGCAGAGAATTATCTATATAGGTCCACAATATCGTATAGCCCCCATATAACGGTACCCCCGATATTCGGTATTTTAATGATTTTACCCACATTTTTCAACGGAATTGTCTGAAAATCCACACAAAGAGTTCCTTGTGGGTACTTTATTCCTCGGCAGAGAATTATCTATATAGGTCCACAATATCGTATAGCCCCCATGTAACGGTACCCCCGATATTCGGTATTTTGATGATTGTAGCCACATTTTCAATGGAATTGTCTGAAATTCCACAAAAGGAGTCCCTTGTGAGTACTTCACCCCCTGAGAGAGAATTGTCTATACAGGTCTACAATCCAATCGTATTGTCTGAAAATCCACACACGGAGTTCTTTGTGAGCACTTTACCCCTGAAACGGAATTGTCTATATAGGTCCACAATATCGTATATCCCCCATATAACGGTACTCCTCTATATTCGGTATTTTGATGATTTTAGCCACTTTTTCCAATGGAATTATCTGAAAATCCATACATGGAGTTCCTTGTGAGTACTTTACGCGCAGACATAGATTTGTCTTTATAGGTCCACAATATCGTATATCCCCCCATATATCGGCACCTTCCTATATTAGATATTTTAAAGATTTTAAAAGAATTTTTATTGGATTTTATTTTTTTGAAAATTTTTTAATTCGTTCCAAATGGTGGAGGGTATTCAAAGTTCGGCCCGGCCGAACTTACTGCTTTTTTACTTGTTTAATTTAAAAATGTGAAAAAGTTAAACCTATTTTATTTAATAATTTACAAAAAAAAAACTTGATCGGATTCTTTAAAAATGCCGATAGCTTCATTATTGTTGTCAAAGACCTCCTTTAATTTCGTGACATTTGTGAAGTATCTGGATAAAATTGTGCATTTCTTCACTCGTATCTTGATTAGATAGATTTATCAATTGAAGAACTTCCGCGTTTGGTAATGATTTATTTTTAAAATCTAATATTGGGTTTATAAAATTCTGAAATTAAAAACTGTTTATTTCGTTGAAGTCTACATCACTGGGAGGGTTTGTTGTGCATTTACAACGAGTATTATTGAGTAGGTTTGATCACACTTAGTTGTCGTTCCTTCAATCAAATGAAATAGATTCAGTGATCACAGTCGGCGTTTATGTGCAGCAAAAGAGACAGATGCGAAAGAAGATTTCACGGTTTACATCCGTTTATAAGTTTACAAACGCATTGGAGTTACCACTACTTCATATAATATTATTAGTGTTGCTTCATTAATTAATTTTAGCGCACAACAACTAAATCTAGTATCTCGAATGTATTTTTGTATTATTATTAAATGGAATATGAAAATATGAATGGAATATGAAATATATATGGAATATGAAAATATGAATATGAAATATAGGAAACATTTCCTATTTTTTATGTAGTTTAAACAATTTTTAAAGATACTACTATTGATAATAAAATCAAACAACACATTAAAAATGCAATTACAAATTGAAAACTAATTTAAAATATTGACATTTTTAGGGTTTGAAAAAAATTGGTGCTATGATACAATAATATGTTGTCGACCTTAATTTTTGTCGTAGGAGGGACCACAAAATGATTGTAAAAAATTACCGACAATATCTGACAATGTTTGTAAAATTTTACAATATACTACTGTTTATAAAAAACCATAGAAAGCTACAGAACCACCCACATATGTATTTATTTTCAAATGCTACAAATCTCTTGCGATTAGTTTAATAGGTACAAAAAGAGAATCATATTACATTTATAATGCAAATGTAGTCGTGTTGCATGTTCGGCCACGGCTGATAATAACTTTTTTAAGTTTTTATAGTATCAAGTGCGAAATTGCACTCCTTATACTCAAGGAATGTTTTGTAGTGTACCTTTTATATAATCTTATTATCAGCCAGGCAGAAACCATATTAAACATAACATAAGACAACAAACTTACCACGTAAACCGCAAGTTTAAACTCGAGTTATTATTTGTATAAACACGGATTATAATAAAATATTTGCTTTATTAAATTCTGGAAGTATTATATAGTTAGCAAAACAGAAAATAATATAGATCTGATTTTAGAATTAGTCATCTGATACTTCTACTTGTCTTTTGGGCAAAAATTCTTCGAGCTCTGAATCTTCTATTTCGCATAGATGTACGGAACGATTGCTACCGTAGGGACTCTTGGGGCAAAAATATTCATCATCTGAGTTGACTAAAAATAAAATACAAAACAATTATTATAATTTGTATAATGTTTAAAAAAGTATAAGTCAAGCAATTAGAATTGAATGAGTTATTTTAAATTAGAATTCGTATATAAAAAATTTGTTAATTTCTGAAAACATAAAGAACTAAAAATGGGGATTCGATGGAATATATAAGAAATTTGATCCTATTTTGACTAAAAGCAAGTTACCGTTCAGCAGCAAGGATAGCTAGCAGACCCAGACCCAACAGTCCCAGCAGACCAGCCCATAGATACCACAGAAGTCAAAGTCCCACATCCCACGAAAGACGTCGAAGTTGTAGGTCCGATGGAAGACCCCTACCACGATATGATAGATCCACCTATTGACAGTACTTGTGTGGTTTATATTAAGAAGGTTTCGCCCTTGTTGCGTGTGAGAGGTTCCGCAAACAGAGCACTTCCAGCAGTGTGAGACTGTAGAGCATCGGGGTTTTGACGAAATTGCCTTGCCAAAAATCCTTAACTGGTTGTAGATCGACACCACCCCCTACTACACAACCCTGCGGCAACCGGTTCTATGTACCGTATTGACTCGAAGGAACAAACCTTCGACAATGGGCCGTTAATTTTTCTGATGTAGAAGCAACACTACTCGGAATGTTTGTTCTGTATTCTCTTGGTCCGAGCCAGTATTGAGACCAACCCCGGACCATGGTTCTGCACCGTTTTTCATATTCGCATCTACCACAGATCGGTCTCGGTGAGATGCAACGGATGCATGGAGTGAGTGTTTTTTTCGCATTTTCCGGTCCTGCTGCGCTTATGTAGACCTGACTGAGTCTTCGTCGTCCACGTCATCGTCCCAGTACGAGACTCCCCCGCAATCTCCACAACAGTAATTCGTGCAACAGTTGACGCCACACATTGCTGTTCAATGTTCTGGATAACACCCGTACATGGAATGTATGGGGTAGCGGTCAAGTATGGAGCCGCCGAGGTAGAGTTGTTGAACTTGTACATCTCGCCGTTTAATACCTGTGCCCAGCGTTATATATATATATATATATATATATATATATATATATATATATATATATGTGTGTCCAAAATCAGTTCGCTTCTGGTCCATTGTGAATTATGACAGTCCGGTTGTCCGTGAATGAGGACGTGTTACCAGAAGAAGGGGGACATACCCATAGTGTCCCCAGGTCTGACGAATGACGTTGCATTGTAATCAGTTATTTCTTTAGGCTTAGACCACCTCCCCATTATTATCGCTTTCAACAGACCATCCGACTTTAAAGACTCTGAACCTCGCACTTTCCCTAACCATGGGAAAGCCAATAGGCAAGAATTCAATCATCTGATGTTCAGGTAGAATATAGGTGTTTCCCGTACATCATAGGCTTTGAATGTCGCCTTTTCCTTACCCATAGGAAAGACAATTGATAAGAATTCGGAGAATATACCAATTGCCTCTTCATAGAACTGCCCAACCCATCTGATGTTCAGGTAGCAGATAGGTGTTTCCGGGACATCATCAAAGCTGCAGCCGACCCGCTGGCGAATACCTGAAATAAACCCAAATTTCCCAGCAGAGGCGGTTAAGTCGCTCTCGATTCATGGAAAAAAGAATATTCGTACATATGTCTCATTTAGTAGCTTAGAAGTGAGGTGCGCATGTGATTTCAACCGGCAATTTATAGAGCACCCCGAGAGTGACTGGGCTAAGAGAATGGTCCTACGCCGTGTACGATCTATCCCAACCGAGGAGGTATTCCTGACGGAATCTCTATTGTGATGTTGAACCAACTAGTTGACCAAGGAGTTGAGTATCTCGCCAAACTCCTCAGCCTGTCGTAAGGCACCACTAATAGTTCTCGAAGCCTGGAAAATGGGCAGAGTGCTACCCGCTACTGAAGCCAATCAAGGATGCTAGCAAAAGTAATTCATACAGTCCGATATCACTTATGTCAGGGAGTTCCGTTTAAGCGCTTACAAAGTAGATCTCACCGTCTTTTTCACTGCGAAGAATATAAAGATATTCGCCACTAAATCGACGGCCACACTTTTCAAGGTCATAGCTATATGCGAAAAGATCAGAAGCAGGAAAATGTCTCTGGCCGTCAGCACATGGGGAGCTGATAAGGAAACCTTGTTGACATCTTGCAACGCGATAGCCCGGTAGGTGGTAAACTATGCGGCTCCGGTGTGTCCGACAATGCTAGTGCTACGCAGGGGAAAAATATTCAGTTCTGCCAGAACTTCACCCTTAGAACCACAACAAGGTGCCTCCTCATGACACTTATCGGCCATCTAAATGAGGAGGCTAAGATCTTACTGGTGCGACAGCATAATAAAATGCTGTCAATGCAATATCTGCAAGATACCTTCATGATTTAAAGAGAGGTATAAGAGCGATCCTCTAGATCAACAGGCCTATCAAGCAGGACTGCATAGTATTTACTCTGACGGGGTCGCAGAAATCATGGAAAGATATAGGACGAATAACGTACTAGGAGACCACCCCTCCCATCGCAACTAAGAGCTGTCCCGATAACCCCGAGTAGTAATGGCACAGTTAAGATCCGGATGATGCAGCCGCCTCAATTCAAAATGGGCCCGGATTGACAGCGATGTGCATCTGCCCAGCTTGTGACACAGGCCCACATGACAGGCTGCACCTATTTCGCCTGGATCTGCAATGGTGGGTAAATAATGGGAAGTGATTCACCACATCCACGGTTTCGCCCCGCCGCACGAACAATAACTGGAGACTCAAAGTAAATTTGTTAAATGTTTACCATGACGATTTTACAGCCTGATTTAGTAATAATATTTTTCCCTTTAGCAGAAAATTTGTTAACTGCTTACCAAGACGCTTTTACATCTTGATTTTGTAAGAATATTTTTCCCTTTCTTGTGTGAATACAAACATGTTTTGGTTTTTAGAGCAATTGTTATTTCTGTAAGTAATATACGCACGAAAGCTTTTACTTTCTCTTGTATCCTTGATTTTTACAAAATAAGAAAGAGGAAAACGCCAGAAAAAAACGATATGACGATGTATGTTTTTTTCAATTTGTACAGTAACCTAGCCCACAGGACCATGGACGGTGCCAAAAACTTCTATACAAGACTACTCTTAACTATTTTTAATATCCTTAATCTTAAAAAAATTTATTTAAAATTATACATTAAAACAAATCAACAAAAAAAAAAAAAAAATAACAAAATTAACAATTGATTGAATCATTGTATGAATCAGCTATGCAAGCTGAAAAATTTGAAACAATATTGAAATGAACGTATAGTTTACGCTTATAACATTTTAGGAAGGAATTAACTGTCTTAAGATTAGGTGGCTGATTGTTGAAAATGAGAGCAATTCTTACATAGAAGAATTTTTCCAACAGAGGAGTCAAACGTGGTATAATGATTTGCGGGTTCCTTACAGATTGAGAAAACTTAAAAAGATCAAAAAGAGTAGAAGGTGTCTGCGATTTACAATGTTTGTAGAAGAACAACATTGACCTTAAATTCACAAGACATTCAAACGAGCAAACAAGAAAAACCTTCACCGAAGGAGATATATGATCACGACGTTTGACATAAAAAACATATCGCATGCACATCAACCACCAAACCAGAATCAATAAACAAACCAAGACATTTTAAGACAACTCCTTTCTGCGGGCGCACCTTACAGGACTGTATTATTCAAATATTTTTTTTTGACCTTTTTAATTTTGTTTTAATATTGGAGTTATAGAAGTACTGTCGAGAATCTGATGAAACAATGCTTTATGGCAGAGAACGTATATGAATTGGCTTTAATTTTCGCAAAATTGTGGGTTGTTTATTTATAAAATGATGTTAATAATGTAATTACATACGAACATTTATACAGCCACCGGTTAATTCCAATGCTGAATACCAATAAATAGGCATCGTCAAGAGTCAAACTTGGTTTCCTGTGATTAGGAAAATTGGAGATTAATTAGTGACAAGTGACATAGAGGATCCAATATCAAAAAAAAAAAAAAAAAAAAAGGGAAATTTTTATATATACAAACTTTAGTGGGTAACAATTGTTAACACAAAATACAACAAACGATTTAAATTTCGCAAAAAAAAAAAAAAAATCAGTGAAACCTTATACCACGTGGTTCTAAATTTTCTATTGAACAATCTAATGAACAAAACCTATGATCTATTGAATTAAAAACTAAAACGAATTACATTAAATTAAAATTATCAAATTGACCAATATTTTTTTAATTTAAAAATGTGAAAAAGTTAAACCTATTTTATTTAATAATTTACAAAAAAAAACTTGATCGGATTCTTTAAAAATGCCGATAACTTCATTATTGTTGTCAAAGACCTCCTTTAATTTCGTGACATATGTGAAGTATCTGGACAAAATTGTGCATTTCTTCACTCGTATCTTGATTAGATAGATTTATCAATTGAAGAACTTCCGCGTTTGGTAATGGTTTATTTTTAAAATCTAATATTGGGTTCATAAAATTCTTAAATTAAAAACTGTTTATTTCGTTGAAGTCTACATCACACTTAGTTGCAATCCAATCAAACTCAATTAGACGGTCAGATGTAAAATGTTTATAGAGTTGCTCAAACGAAACGAAAATGTTGTGAGCAAACACGAATTCGCAATCAAACAACTCACACGAGTGACTTGTTTACGAACTAATGTTGAATTTTTTATGACGGGAAAATCATCTCGGATGAGTATTATCGCTTTGATTCTTCTTTGTAGATTGAGTGATTTGATTAAAGCACAAAAGATCGAATCTGAGCGCAATCATGACGTGCATTTTACTAAGCACTTCAAGATGAAATCTTTACTTTTAACAAGTAAAAAAAAGAAGTAAGTTCGGCCGGAACGAACTTTGAATACCCTCCGAATAAGGAAAAAAAATAAAACCCATTAAAAATTCTGTTAAAATATTAAAAATACAGTATATCGGATGGTGCCGATATATGGGGGATATAAGATA